ACGTATTTTATGAATATATATTCTTCTTTTGTGCACATGAATTGGTTTTTGTGAATATATTTTTTTTTTTTTCGTGCATGTGAATTATTTCTCATGCATGTGAATTGGGTTACGCATGTGTGCATCGCGTCTTTTGCGTGAATTATTATTGAGATCATTCTGGCTCCATTTTCATTTTCATTTCATTCCCCGCCGACACAGTTTCGCGTAGGGCCCCCAGAAGTCTAGGATCGGCTCTGATTCTAGGATATAAGTATATCCTAACAGGTTTTAGCACTATCTGAGAGCACAGTGAAATCACAGTGTTAACAGAAATCTCCACTTCTCTTCCTGTATGGGATCGCATATACAAGCTTCTCTGAGCACAATTACGCATGCCAAAAAACACATTTGACATGTTTGCGTTTGAATGGTTCTAAAAATATATGCCTCTATACAGTATATGTTAAAATGCCAGTGAAAAATGTACAGAATGTCACCTTTAAGTTCTTCCCGCTCCGGCACATATGATTTACTAGATAAGAATAACAGCACTTTTAGAGTTCCATCCCTCTATTTTATGTCAGCATAAGTACACCTGACAGCACAGTTGAGAGAAACAATTGACAGTTCTTCGTAAATGATCGGGTGTTTTTATTGCATTAATTGAACAGTGATCACACATCATTTTGACAAAATGTTTGTATTTTATAATGTACAATCAGCACACAAACATTATTGGCCTTGCTTACAAAATTCAAATGAGATTCGATAAACTTTAATCTTGAATCAATCTTAAATAATTTCACAGCTAAAATGGCCATATTTGACTTGATATATTCAGTCACAGTACAAGAAATTGAGCTCATCTGACAACCTTCATTCACATTGAACATGAATGCTGTGCACTTTGAGAACACTGCTTTTTTCTATGATAGATTAGACCTGATGATAGATCTATGATAGATTAAAACTTCTTCCACACTGAGGGCAAGTGTATGAATGAATGATGCATTTATATAGCACTTTATTGTGTATTGTTGTACACCCAAAGTGCTTTACAATCATGTGGGGGTCTCTCCTCAACCTCAACTTCTGTGAGTTCTCATGTGATCATTATGGTTTCCTTTTCACACTGAGGACACGTGTGAGGGTTTCCTTCAGTGTGAATTATCATATGTTCATCAAGTAGGTTTTTACATGTAACTCTTTCCAAACTGAAGGCAGGTAAAATTGTCTCTCTCTCTAGTGTGAATTGTCCCACATTGTGCCATTTTTCATGCATTTTCAGGCTTCCTGACAGGGCAAAACTCTTTTCACAATAAGAGCACTTATACGGTCATTCTCTCATATGGACTCTTTGGTGTTTTATCAAATAATCGGCTCAAACGGCTTTTCCACACTCACAGCACACGTTTTCACACCCTCATGTCTTTTCTGGTGCCTCTTAAAGGTCCCATATTTTACACCTTTCTGGAGTTTTATTTTACTTCTGATTGGCCTGTTGTGTTCTGAGTGACGCACGGCCAGGCCAACCACAGGTCACAAGTCACAGCGCTAGCTGGAGGAAGCAAAACAAAGGGGAAACTGGAGGCGGCCCATTCAAACCTGCGCAGATTCGGCTGCATAACGAGCTTAAAATATCATCTTGTTGTGATGTTGGGTGCCAGAATCGACGTAATACAGCCTCAAATTAGAAATTTGATCGCATATCTGCTGCCACTGCCAGACAAAAAACCGACGACAGCTGTGGTTAAAACGCAATAAAACGAGCAGACTGGACAGAAACGATCATCAGAAAGAAAGCCAGGAAATTTCAGTTTTGACAATATGGGACCTTTAAAAGAGTCAATCCATACAAATCTCTTTCCACAAGCAGAACAGCTGTAAGATTTCTCTTTTGTATGTACATTCAGGTGTTTCTTTAGGTGTGACACCAAAGCAAATATTTTATTGCAGTGATCGCAGTTAAATTCCTGTGCTGTGATAGAGGCGCTGATGATAATTGAGACTGCTTGACCAAGTGAAACTCTTACCACAGTGATTACACTTAGGGCTTTTCTTTAGTGTGAATTCTCATGTGAGTTTCAGCTTGAGATTTATTTATGAAACTCTTTCCACAATGAGGTCAAGCGAAAGGCTTCTCTGCACAGTGACTTAGTGACTCTTAAACTTTCCTTTACTTGTGAATCTCTTTCCGCACTTAGGGCAAGTGAAAGGTCTTTCACCCGTATGAGTTCTCAGTAAAGTTTATTTTATGTGTGGAAGTGTTTCCACACTGAGGACATGTGTAAGGCCATTTGACTTCTGTTGTTTGAGTGCTGCTTTGTGAGAAATTGTTTTCAGTCAATTATTTTTCGCTATTTGTGGCACCATGAGCTTTCTGATGCTGCTGTTTCTCCTCCACTTCATTCAGATCTAGACTATTCTCTTTCACTTCCATCAGGCCTAAAAGGAAATCATTTAAATGATGAAAATCAATTGGGATTGAAGTCATTTATTTTCTTCATCTTAGTGCTGTCAAACGATTAATTGCATCCAAAATAAAAGTTTTTGTTTACATAATATATGTGTGTGTACTGTGTATATTTATTATGTATATATAAATACACACACATGCATGTATATATTTAAGAAAAATATGTACTGTATAATATATACTGTATGTGTGTGTGTTTATATATACATAATAAATGTACACTGTACACATACATATATTATGCAAACGAAAACTTTTATTTTGGATGCAATTAATCGTTTGACAGCACTATCTATCACTCATCAGCTCCTGTGATTTTATGCATAGCCACTAAATCTGGTGAACTTTGTACCAAAATAGACAACAAAGTAGATCTAGGAATGGACACCAACCTGCTTGTTCCTCATTTTTTTTATTCTGCATGCCTCTGAATCACATGTCCGTTTTTTCTTTTTTGACAAAAATAATCTTTACAGTAGCAGATCAAACACTTCAGTTGTTACACTTCGAGTTTTACAGTCTATTTCTGGGCTTAAGTCTACTTAGTATCTTTCTGAAATTAAAGTAAAAGTAACTAAGAGACATTTAGAGTTAAAAACACATCATAAAGTGGGATTTGACCCTGGTTCCTTTTCTGTTAAGAGGCTCTTCTTTTCATTAGTTTGATAGCAGCTGGCAAACTTGAGACATTTAGAGTTAAAAACACATCATAAAGTGGGATTTGACCCCGGTTCCTTTTCTGTTAAGAGGCTCTTCTTTTCATTAGTTTGATAGCAGCTGGCAAACTTAAATAGCGCACTACCGCCACCTACAACTGTTAGCATGAACCAGACACACGATACCCTTCATTCAATTGTTTTTATTACAGTACAGTAAACATTTACAATCACAATGAGCAATTCTGTGTAGCATGCCAAAGAGTATGAGTAATCATATTTTGTAAATACATTAATTTTTATATTTAGTTCCATAAAGACTAGCACCAAAATAAAAACGCAAAATTAAGAACAAATACATAAAAACAAAAAATAAAATTGTGAACGGAATAAAATCAAAGTAATCAAAAAGAAAGGCAAATTCAAATTGCATGTGTTTAATTT